ATAACCCCAATATAACCCCATCATAGTTCGATCAGGTGGGGCTTCATGACAAAGTTCGGGTACGCCCCGGGCAATGGCACTTACACCCTGCGCGTCCGAGTGCCGTCGCAGCTCAACAGGCAGGGAAACGAGTTGTGGCAGTTGTTCAGAAAATAGGAGCCATCATGACCTGTAGAGGCGAAGAAGACCTAAAGTTAATCTTTCCAGAGATTCGGAACCCGTTTTTGAAGCGGGCGGGGGGGAATGCAAGCACTTCTCAGACTTCGCATGCTCCTCATCTTGTAGACCTCCTCAGTTTTACATTCCAAAATGGCATGTATCAGTGATGAGCCGAAGTAAAACAACCGCGTTGAGGAGCTTCCCCTGCGCTCGCATGTTCATCATGGCAGCCACTTCACTTTCTGGTCTGGCACCTCACTACGACTCCTGCGGCAGTAGATCTCTCAAATGCAAAGGTTTGGGGTATGGGTAGGGGATTGGAAGACAGGGATCTTGAGCCGTAGTGGGCGTGGATTGCCGTCTCCTTGGATTGGTAGTGACAGTTTTCCAAAAACTTGTGACAAAGAGCGCAACCATCATCTCAGCTATGGCTACCTCTGCTCGCATTGCAAGATGGCCGCTGTCAATAGCAGCATGTTAGGTCCTACTTGCAAGGAGTCTTATGTCTTACGCTGTGAAATCGAGCGACCACGCGCTTGGAGTAACTGGCACGCTAGGCTGGCGAAAATGCTTGATGGTATAGGTGCCGGCTTTAATCAACGACAAAATGATAGTTTCCCTAAATAAGGGGACCCCAATATACACCCCAAAATACTATAGTACCCCTAATTTTGGGAAACTCCCAAATCTCATCCAACTACGTCAGGCCCGAGGGAAACATCACGCTTCGCTTCGAGAGTTACCTGGACGAGGATCCCCAAGCTGGAATTCCTCTGTTTGAAAGGGTTATCCCGGGGCGGTGTAGGGCAGTGTAGGGTTTAGGGTTTGGGGTTTGGGGTTTAGGGTTTGGGGTTTGGGGTTTAGGGTTTAGGGTAGCTTCCAGGTGTGGGTACTCGGGTCATCAATCCCCAACTTGGTCATTAATGCCCAGTACTGCCCAATCCTATCTAGCGCTCCCCAAGGCTCCACGGGCCACTCTGCTCTTGAACACCCGCCCACCCCTTGAACAACCTTGTCTTGCGACATGGTGCGTGCTGAACATTCAAGATTCCGATTTTGGGAGTCCAAGATTTTGGCCACGAAGCTGCAGGTCGTCATCTGAAACGTCTCTGAGTCTCTGGGTTGTAAATCCGGTCTGAAGTACCGTATGAGTATCATCGGGATATGTATGGCTTAGGGATGATCCATTATATGGAGAAGACATAGGAAAACATGGACATTTTTTTGCAGTTAGCCTGGGGTTGCGCAGTTCATCCCAAACCCTAAACCCTAAACCCTGAACCCTAACCCCCAAGTTTCCAAAAAGGTGCGACAAATTGCGCGCTGCCCGCTTTTCGTAGTCTCTGGCTTGAAGCTGCCCGTGGCCGGGAGGTCGTCAGGTGAGAACAGGGTTGAGGGTTTAGGGTTCAGGGTTTAGGGTTAGGGTGGGATAGTGGAAAAGAAAATTGAAACTACCATAGTATATTGGGGTTCTATAGGGATAATGGAAAAGAACATGGAAACTACTATAGCATATTAATTTTTAGGGTTCAGGGCTCAGGGTTGAGGGTTCAACGTTTAGAGTAGCTAACTAGTTACTCGATACTACTTGTAAAGGTGAAGGGGTGAAGGGTCCAGTTTGTTCGATCATCTGGTGGTGGTGTCAACATACGCCAAGAACCTGACCCAACCGAACCATGCAGAATCTGTGAGACGCCCGTAGTGTGCCTTGTCGCAGGAAAGGGTTTAGGGTTTAGGACTGATGGAGATTCCTTGCAAACATTTGGTACTGGTGGGCTTCACCTGCGCGACGCTTTCGAGCGTGTTCGTTTTCTGGCAGCAAGGTTGGAAGTGCAACCCAGCTGTGGCTCTGTCGGCTGTCCCTTCCACAGCACTTCTCCAAGAGCCCGAAAATTGGACTGGTTCCAGGTACGGCGTTGGCACCGAAAACCGGACCAACGCCAGACATGGCAAGGGAAAGGGGGCAAGAAAAGCCCACCACCAGCAAGAAAACGAGCACGACGACCTGGATGATCATCAGACTCCTCACATTGAGCCGCAAGCCGTGGTCCCGGTGGAGCCCCTGCCTGCCACCTTAGCTGCGGCCCCGGGGGCCCCGGGAGCTGCAGCAATGCCCACAGCGCTGCGGACCGCACCACTGGCTTCTCAGCTTCCGACGCCGCCGCCAAAGGAGTTCGCCATCGTCCCAGGCGAGTGTGCGATGCGGCAGCGCCTGAAGCAGCAGAGGCATTTCGATCAAGTCCACAAGACCAACGCATGGGGTAGTGACCAGCGGGTGACCACTAGCGGCACAGGAAGTGATCAAAGGGGTGCCTTTGACTGGGTCTATCACGTCAACTTGTTCATCTTGTACCTGGGCTTACTCAATCATCACGGCCAGTATAGTAGCCTGAACCATTGGTAATTCATATTATTCCCCTGAAGTTATTCCCTCTAGAGCCTCGGTGCACCTTAAGGCCCTGTTCGAATCCTCCTCTCTGTGATAGCCATCCTTCAGCTTACTGTTTGACAGTAGGGGACATCCCTATAGTCGTCCCTGTACATGCCCCAGCCATACAGTAATTCCACTATGTTTTCCATTCCCTCATTCCCTGCGCTAGTCAGGCAGTACAACATCAAGACAGTTGCCGACCTCCCTAGTGGAGATGTTGCTTGGCAATTCTCTGTTCCGGGCATCAACAAGGCCAAGGCCTACTTCGGTGGGGACATCAGCGTTTCCGTGGCGCAACGGAATGCCAAACAGTATGCATCACACCTGAACAAGATGTTCCGCCACTGGGACTTGATCGAGTGTGGGGTGCCCCAGTGCTGTCAAGACGGAAACTGTGCTCCCTTTGACTTGGTGATCACACGAGACGCTCTTCAGCACATGACCATCTTCGACTCATTGAAAGCGGTGCGGAATATCGTGAACTCCGGGGCGAAATACTTTGCTGTATCCAGCTATCCCCCCCACAGCGTGGACGCACGGGCGCCCCACCCGCAAGTCTACGCCCGTGGCGCAGCAGGCTCTGCCAGATACGTCGGGCATAGCTCTGAGGAAGATTACATCCAGAGGTGCCAAACCAGCGACGAGCTCAAGCGCAAGTTCTGCAGGTCGGGGCAGCGGACGGAAGAGGCGGGTTGGTTTTTCACCAACGTCATGCGATGCTTCCCCTTTAACTTTCCAGCACCGGTCCTGGACAAAGCAAGTCATGAGACCTTCAAGATTGAGGCAGACCACCTACAGATCCTGGGTTGCTGTTAAGGAACTTAAATTAAGTTACCATAATGGGTATATATATATATAGTAATTTATAGGGTTTCCCCAATGTAGTAACTTAATTTAAGTTCCTTAACAGCAACCCAGGATCTTTCAAATCAGCGACCTAAAGTCGGTCGTCCAACGCTACGACGAGTTCCTTGAGTTTTGTAAGCAGGCGTGAGCTCTCCGAGCCTGAAGGCAGAAGTTGCCGGGCGAAGGGCAGAAAGGTCTGAGCTGGGGGGTTCTTACTCTTGGATAGCAGGGAATGGAGGAATGGCTCCGTACCCTAGTCCTTACAGGAGCTATGGTCTAAACTCCTAGCCACTCTTGAGTAGCCTTTATAACGGTCCCCTATCTAATCCTGGGCCCTACACAATCCCCCCATATCCCACTTCTGCATTCCTTATGAACCCGTAAATTTTGTGACTTGGCATCCTGGCATGCATGAGAGATCGCGCATCCATAGTGCTCCCTACTTTTCACCATCATCACCAACCCCAAACCCTAAACCCTAAACCCCAAACCCTATCAGTAGTTTCATTCCTTATGGGCACAAAAGCAGAGAAGTGATTTCTGCAGGACTGGGAGGAAGTGCTCAGCATCGAGGTGACCGGACAAACGGATCATGGAGACTGGTTTAGGGTTTAGGATTTAGGGTTTGGGATTTAGGGTTTAGGAATGTTTAGGATTTAGGGTTTAGGATGTACGGTTTTTAGTATTTAGGGTTTAGGCTTTAGGGTTTAGGATTTAGGGTTTACGATTTGGGGTTCGGGGTTTTGGGCTTTGCTGCAGTGACTGCAGCGCTTGTTGGGAGCAAGTAGGCTGCTTCAACTTCTCTCAAGTGAGTTTTGATGTTCACGTGGGTACTATAGTTCCCATTGTGGAGTAAGATCATATCTCCTGGTTTGGTTCCTAAAAACATAACTCAAGTGCCTCTGCATGTCGATCGGTGCCAGGACCCTTGCTTGCGGACGCGCAAGGCCGGAAACTTATGCGTCAGCTGCAAACTTCTCAAAGTTTGGGGCCTTCCATATGGTTTCTTTTGGGGGTCCTATAGTAAGGGCCGTAGTTTTTTTGCCATTTTTTGGAGAAGCTATCATATACCTCTCCAAATGATTAAGAGGCCTATTCTTGGAACCCAAAAAGACTTCCTGGATCTTGAGAAGCTGCTCATTGTTTGGAATCTAGGTTAGGGTTGAGGGTTTAGCGTTTAGGGAAGTTTAGGGGTACCCTCCCCCTAAACCCTAAGCCCTAAACCCCAAAACTGAACCCTCAAACCCTAAACCCTAAACCCCCATAAGAAGCATCCTCCTAGACCCGCAGTAGTCTACGCATGGCCTCTTTTCGGGTTCCATGTTTGTTCCCGAAGGCACCTGGAGGTCTGAAACCAAACCCTAAACGACAAAACCCTAAACCTTGGGTACTGCCCCCACCCAGTAACAGTCTATATTAGGGGTCCTATTAAGGGCTATATATAACCCTATTATAAACATTATCCCACTGTTACTGAAGGGGGGCAGTACCCAACCTAAACCCTTAATGAACCCCGAAGCTCTTGACACTAAACTTTACCATGCCCAAAGATCCCAGAAATCCCAAACCCTAAGGCTCTTAACCCCAAAGCCCCAAACCCTAAAACCCCCAAACCTTAAAACCCTAATCCC